CTCTCTCTCTCTCTCTCTCTCTCTCTCTCTCTCTCTCTCTCTCTCTCTCTCTCTCTCTCTCTCTCTCTCTCTCTCTCTCTCTTTCTCTCTCTCAGCTCTCTGTTCGACCCGTCTTCTCTGTCATGGGACCTAGCGACTCTTACGAGTTCTCCCTTTTCACTCGTGGTTTTTGAGGAGTAGTGCGCCGCTCTGGGGCTGGCAATAGCGTGCCATGCTGGGGCTGGCAATAGCGCACCATTCTGGGCCTCAGGCTGGTAATAGCACGCCATTGTGGGCCAAGGGTGTGTTGATAATGGTCACCGATGGGGGCGATCCAGTGACAGCCGTCATTTATGGTTTGCCGGGACTCGCGATGTCATAGCGATTGCCGTCATTTACGGTTTGCGGGGACTCGCGATGTCATAGCGATTGCCGTCATTTATGGTTTGCCGGGACTCGCGATGTCATAGCGATTGCATTTATGACCTCCAAGTGAGGCGATCATACTTCTAACGGCGTATGATTATGCTGCCGTTAGCGTTCTGCCGCCGTTAAGGTTATGCCACCGTTAAGGTTAGACCACCGCTAAGGTTATGCCCCTTGATGATTGGTTTTGATTTCCGGACATTGATTATGGCCGACCTGAGTAATCTCACGTCCGCCGTTAATTTCTGTTTATCCTGACAAAGTAGAATCATAATCATTGCAATTATACCTGGATTTGGTTATCCTGTGATATGGGATGGGCCTCGCTCCACCACTTGACATTCTACATGCATTTGGACACCTCTCTGGACCAGGTGCTTTTGGAGGAGTACAATATTTTGAATGTGTCAGACCATTAAGAGCTCCAGATACGTACAGTGTTGTATAGTGGAGCGAGGCCCTATGTTAATGACATGGCGTGGTCCCTGCTATGTTGCCGCCCCCTCCAGCAGGCATGCCGTTTGTTGAAGAGGTGAATAGGGTTTGGGGAATATAGCATTAGGGGAAAAAATAATAGCAATATGCCGTTAGGGTTAAATACTCGATAGATATACCTCTGTTTGTGAGGGAACAGCATTTGCTATGGGTATGGATGGGCCTGCAGAAGCTTGTGCTGGTTAAAGAGATGTGTCATGGTGATGGCTTTCCCCTCGCCTCTTAGTCAAACCTCCTCCTCCTCCTTCGCCACTTCTGCCACTTCTTCTTTTTTTAACTTCTAGATTTTATTTTCGTTTTGTTCTTAATATATGAGACGCCTTCTTTCGTCTTCACCTTGTTCTTTTTTGGGGGGCCATTTTGAGTAGTCTTCCTTGGTCTTCATTTTCATTAATGCCTCTCTCAAGTGTGCCCAAGGGAAGAGCAAGCGCTGGGATCTGTACAATGAGTCCTGGTGTTCTATTTATAGATTTTGACAAACCTCAAGCGTCCCTCCGTGTATTCGCCTTTTGTAGCTGATGTTCTCCCCCTCTTCCTCACCCTTCTTTGTCTCCCCCTTTTTTTTTCGCACTCCGTGGTGCCCTCTTCCAGCGGGCGCACGGAGGCAAAGTGGCCAGCTTTGGCCTCAGTCCTTTGTAAGGTCGCCTTATAGATCTGTGTATATAATCAGTTTCATCTGAGTCAGGGTACAATAAGACTTCTCGTGAATGAATCTTCCCGGAATTGCGTCTATATTGCTTGGAAAAGTGCAAGGATGACGTCCTATGCCTCCAGTGGCAATTAGCACTTCGGGAAATAATAGCACATGGCCCTCACTGCACTACCCACCGAATGTGAAAAGGCAAAAATATGTCGTTTGTATCTTTCCGCATTCTCATTTTGCCCGTCTGGTGAGTGGTGCACTGAGCCCCTATGATTATATTATAGGCCTACATATATGCTATACCTATAGATAAATAGTTTGTCACAGTCCCTCATTTGTTGTCCTCTTCTCCCTCTCTGCCTACGGTTTACCGGGCAGCTCTGTTTGACGATACGAAACAGTTTGTCATAGCCCCTCGTTTTTTGTCCTCTTCTCTCTGTCTGCCTACGGTTTACCGGGCGGTTCTGTTTGTGACGATATATATCACAGCCCCTCGTTTGTTGTCCTCTTCTCTCTCTCTGCCTACGGTTTACCGGGCAGTTCTATTTGTGGCGATATATATATATATATATATTGACGATATATATATATATTGTGACGATATATATGACGATATATATATATATATAGATATATATCCTTCTCTGCGGACGGTTTACCGGGCAGTTCTGTTTCACGATATATACATCGCTATATGTATATATACATATATATTCAGCCTCCTGATGAGTCGGTGAAACTCCGACGAAACAGTTTGTCACAGCCCCTCGTTTGTTGTCCTCTTCTCCCTCTCTGCCTACGGTTTACCGGGCAGTTCTATTTGACGATATATATTCCCACGCCTCCTGATGAGTCAGTGAAACTCCGAGAAAACAACCTCTTGCATACTCTTCCTACGGTTCACATGGCAGTTTTCTATCACAATATTTATATACACATTCGACCTCCTGACGAATTAGTGAAATTCCGGCTGAACAGTCTGGCACAGCCCGTTGTTTGTTGTCCGCTTCTCCCTCTCTATCTACAGTGTACTAGGCAGTAACTGTTCTGTCTGACGAGAAATTGTAGTATATTATATTATTATTCGCTTTGAGTCTTTGAGACATTTTTCTTCGACATAGCTGAATGTAACCGCTTCCTCATTCATTCAAAGGGCCTCGCTGCACTACTCACCAAATTTGGAAAATGGCGAATGTATATACACGTTCGCGTAGGAGGTGGAAAGATACACGCGCCTTTTCTTCATATACTTGCACTTCTTTTTTTTTGTTTTGCATTTCCCACATTTGACGGCCGTCGGACTGAAGAGGCCGTCGGACGGAGGAGGCCGTCGCTCCACTTCTGGATTCGGTCATATGCATTTGCAAAGATTTTTGACTTATCTGAACATAATTTGTCGCATAATTCGGATTCCGTACGCAGTCGAAGTCTTTTTTCTAATTCAAGTATTGTCATCATTGAATTAGTAACAGATCTTCTCTTTAGAGTAAAATAAATAAAACAATTAATTAATTAATTAATGGAAAGACCGTTCCATAATCTTTCAAGCAACAAGTTTTGTCAACGGGTTCCTCTGTCCCCCAGGGCCAGGCACCACCAGGAAAGAAGATTTGGATTTAACGCCTGAATCTGGTGGACGTGCTCGGGGAGAGGTGCGGAGAATTGCGATTGATCTGCTGCATAAGGCATGCGACAGTCCAGGTTCAGGCGCTTAATCCAATCCTCTTTGCCAGATGGACCTCGCCGCCAATGCCGTTGTCATGCAGATCGTCTTTCGTAGATTACTATTAATATCATTATAAGAAAGAAAAACAAAAGGATTCATTCATTCTCCGCATGCTCAAGATGCTAAAAACTACTACAGTGCCAAAGCGGCTGCCGTTCCTTTCTTGAAGAAGGGCGACCGCCTTGAGGTAGTGTTGTCGAACTGACCGGCCCCAGGTAATTCAGAGTTATGTTATTTCATTTCATACATCTAGTAGTTTTATTTAGATTTGAACTCAGGACCTGGTCTGCATTCGAACAGATCTGATTCAGGGGTGTACCAACTGAGTTAGGCCCATTGGTAATCAGCTGAGGTTCTGTCACAAGCCGGCCAACATTTTCGTGTTTCTATTGTTGTATTCCCTACTGGGAGCACACTGTTTTTGCGGGCCTTGCTGCACTTAGTCTACCGGTAGTTGCGGAATGCATTGAATTGTGAGGGGAGTATCTTATCTTCCTCACCTATATGGTAGAAATATTTGCAGAGCGCCATGATTTCTGTCTTTTTCACCTTTGGAGAGTGTTGGAGCGATGGCCTTTTCGTACTTCTCTCCCTCCCTCTGGATCACCCCCTGGTTAACGGAAGGTAGAAATGGGTTACCCACCCACGCGGTTAACGGAAGGTAGAAATGGGTTACCCACCTACGCGGTTAACGGAAGGTAGAAATGNAGAAATGGGTTACCCACCCACGCGGTTAACGGAAGGTAGAAATGGGTTACCCACCCACGCGGTTAACGGAAGGTAGAAATGGGTTACCCACCCACACGGTTAACAGAAGGTAGAAATGGGTTGTTACCCACCCACGCGGTTAATGGAAGGTAGAAATGGGTTACCACCCACGCAGTAAACGGAAGGTCGAAATGGGTTACCCATGTGGTGAACAGAAGGCAGAAAGCCAGAAATAGACATATACCCATTTGGCTAACGGAAGGCGGAAATGGGTTAACTAACCAAAGTGGTCATATACATCCAGGAAATCCTAGTGTGAGTAAGTCCTGAGGTAGAAAGATTCGGTCGGAAACGTCGTCAGTATGCGTATGCTTGCAAGCTTTAGATGCATTGAGTGTACATGTACTATTTTTTAAGGAATATACAGGACAAATTGCCCCTACTTACGTCGAGGAAATAACAACGTGCCATTGCCGAACCAGGTACCGAACCACGTGATCCACGCTGGTTTGGATTTTGAAGTCTTTCTTTTGACCGAGGACCGGGAAATGGTTTCAAATTGCCAATGGTCGAACGAGCCATGGATCTGGTGATTCAATCCGGGTTCGGATATCAATCGTCTTTCGAGCTAGAAACTGGGAAATGGACGGTTGGCCGATGGCCGAACCTCATGACCCAGCCGGGTGTGGGTGCTTTATACTGTCCGTACTTGGCCCAGTGACTCGATAAGGTGCAGTAGTATACTTATCTCTGTTTCACTGGTACAATTTTCATAATTTGGCAATCCTAAGCTGTATAGGATAAACAGTTATGTGACTAACTTCCAGCAACTGGACTATATCGCTCGCCCTTGCCCATTCTTGCTGTTTTTTGGGAAGTCCATATTTATTTGGCGCAGTAGCACCGTGGTGTTTGTAGTAATACATAAATAACAATTTTTAATTTTACCCATTAAAATCACTTAGGGAGAAAACTGTCGTAATAATTTGACATCCGATCCATCTCCTCAGTCCTTAAAGGGAGCCAGTGTTTATGAACCGCATTCTCTCTGGTATACAACTTCCAGCACCTCGAAAGAAGCCATCATATTGCAACATCTCTCACTTCTTTCCTAGGGTACATACGAGGGTTGTTTTTATGCTTTCACTCCTGAGGGAGCACCACATAGATGAATACCTCTTGGTCAGCTGGTGGTCTCTCTCTCTCTCTCTCTCTCTCTCTCTCTCTCTCTCTCTCTCTCTCTGTGTGTGTGTGTGTCCCCTCGCTCTCGCACTCTCATGCGCACGCCCGCATGTCATGCACACACACACATGCACACACGCACACACACTGTTTGCCTGCGTAATGGCGGGGGTGATGGTTACGAAGAACAGTTGCAGATGGGGTGGTGACACGTGTTCTGACGAGCAGCTATGCCGTACAGGTTGCGGATTTGACCAAGAAAAAAGAAGAAGAGGTTTGAAAGCTTTCCGTTAGGTTGCGCTATTTGGCCAAGCAAAAACAAAAAATGAAGAGTTTGATATGTTGCCGCTAAGGTCGCGAGTTCAACCAAGTTGTAGCTGCCCAGCTGGAATCTGCCAGGCTGATGACCCGACTACCAGGATTGTTCTATTTCAAGTTTCAACCTAGAGATTCGGAGTAAGCGTGATCTTTACCCCGGTGGGACCACCATAGGATTCTCGGAACAGAAGCCGTTTGTTGGCGGACTGCGTCTTTGCTTCTATTGCCGTCGCTCCTGCTACTATGTTCAATTTCCCTTTATGCTTTTCTTGACCTGGAGCAGTGCGTGTTTCCCACCCGCCGAGGGGGCAGCATGACCTGTAGCAGCGCCCAGCTTGCAAGGTGAACTTCAGCCTTAAGTTTCCGGTAGAATAACAGCAGGTGGCGATGGTTGGCTGGTGCCCCTCTGATGCACCATGAACAGGAAGGGCCATCTCCAGAGTTTAATCAGGTAGTTACTGGGGTTTTCCTTGGAGAAAGCTATGGATGGAGCCGGGTTGACTCTCGACAGAGACAAGGGTTGGGTTGTTGCAGAAAAGAGCACGTCATTTCAACGTGTGTACGTCTCAGAGTGACGATGGAGATCCTTCCGTTTCCTTGTGGAACGGATGGGAGCGGTGGATCACCATCTTCGCTTGTGCGCTGAGCGCTGAGTGCTAGCTAACCATTTCACCGCATGGACATTGTCACTTGTGTCCTCTTAAGTTACTATCAACCGAGTCAACTACTTCCCATCAGGGAGGAGCTCGAGATAGGAGCGAAAGGCTCTGCTCTTGCAAGAACTTGAAGGGGAACGAGCTCGAGCTAGGAGGGGGAGGCTTCTCTTGCAAGAGCTAGGAGGGGAATCAGCTTGAGCTAAGAAGGAAAGCAGCTCAAGAACGGGGCGGGGAAGCAACTCCAGCTAGGAGGGGGAGTCTGTTCTTGCAAGAGCTAGGAGGGGGAGTCTGTTCTTTTTTTGTTTTTTTTTAATTTGGACCATTTCTCGATTTATGCGTGTCATCCTTGAAAGTGCAGGGGCCATGCTAATATTCTCTGTATCGTTCCAATTTTAACGGATGTCCCGAAGGACGGGGGGAATCTGCTCTTGCAAGAGCCAGGAGGGGAAACAGCTTGAGCTAGGAGGGGAAGCAGCTTGAGCTAGGAGGGGGGGGGCATCTGTTCTCGCAAGAATCAGGAGGGGAAGCAGCTCGAGCTAGGAAGGGGAGTCCGCTGTGCAAGAGCGAGGAGGGGAAGCAGCTCGAGCTAGGAGGGGACGCAGCTTGAGCTAGGAGGGGGGAAGCAGCTCGAGCTAGGTCTGGTCTTGCAAGAACTGGATCAAATGGGCCCATCAGGATGATTGCTGCGGACGGTTTCAGCTACTTTGATTTGACAGCAGCACGAGCTAAGAGGCGAATCTATTCTCGCAATAAAAGGACTGAGTAGTTCTATCAGCATTGGGGATTATGTGCGGCGACTGTTTCGCCAGTCTATCGGAGTTTGCAAGAGAAATGGACTTGTGTCGAAAGCGTTTGCAACGATGCAAAGACAACCTGTTTGTCCATTAGAACCTACTGAGTGCTGTCCCAAAGGGCATCTACCATGCCATTCACGGTAGGTACTACAGGTTTGTTCCATTCGTGGTGGTAGAGAAGAGGAATGGGACATCGCAGTACCTCATGGCAGGTAAGGGGATTGAGAATCACGGTGCCCATAGGAGTAGGCATTCTGATCAGATGCTGTCACGAGATGACATTGTTCATATCCTGAGGTGGCGTTCTTCGTGTAGTTTTGCGGGCGTCGAATCGGATGGAGAAGATGTGTGTGGACATACACCAGGATTCTACCTCCACCCATCCTGCGACCGCTGTGAAGGCGAATCGGAGTGTGGTTTCATGTATTAGATGAGATGATGGCAATTGCCAATAGCAACCATGGCAGGGCGTCCTCTACACGTCTAGTGGACACTAGCCTGCCTGACAGAGGCAGCAAAAGCTGCAGGATTTCCATGGCGGTGTACTAAAAGGGTGCGCAATGCCGACGAACATCCCTTTTGTCGCAAATCGAGATATGGGTTAGGCACGGTAAGGGCATCACCTGTTAGGTGATTGGAAGTGTTAATGTCGTGGGAATAACAAAAGGCATGTTAAGCCTTACGACCAAATGCGCAGCTTCACATTTACAGACAAGAGGGAGAGAGGGGAGGGTTTTGTGTGTTTGTGTGTGTGTGTGTGTGTGTGTGTGTGTGTGTGTGTGTGTGTGTGTGTGTGTGTGTTGTGTGTGTGTGTGTG